CAAAAAGAAAATGACAGGAATCTCTTAGTGATAAAGTGCAGTATGTTAATCCTACAGGGCAGCCCACCCTTTGATAAATTCTAACCATGTGCCTTGAGCCTGCTTCTAGTTAGTGCCTGATATGGTATGGCTGTATCCCCACCCAAATCTCATCTTGAATTGTAGTTCCCACAATTCCCTCATGTCATGTGAGGGACTCGGTGGGAGGTAATTGAATCATGGGGGTGGGTCTTTCCCATTTTCATAATAGTGAATAAGTTTCACAAGATCTGATGGTTTTATAAAGAGGAGTTCCCCTGCGCAAGCTCTCTCTTGCCTGCTGCCAGGTAAGACGTGCCTTTTGCCTTCTGCCATGATCATGAGGCCTCCCTAGCTATGTGGAACTGTGAGTCCATTAAACCTCTTTTTCTTTATAAATTACCCAGTCTGGGGTATGTCTTTATCAGCAGTGTGACAATGAACTGATACGGTTCCTTATATTTTTCTGTGTTTGTAAAAATAATCAGCCAAAAGTCATCAGTTTATTTGAGGGAAACTTCTCACATTAAAGTCAGTCATCAAAATGGAAATATGGCATTCAAAGGAAACAGACGTTGGCAGAAGAAAATTTAAAAGAAAAATGAAAAACCTACATCTGTAATAAAAGCCTCAGAAATATTCACAAAACAGCAAGAGAAGATTATAGAAAGCAAAAAGACCTGAACAGGTAGAACACAACTGTATATATGTATATATAGATATAGTATAAATAAAAAAACAGTAGAGAAGTTGGAAGATAATGATAAATTTATATTCAAGAAAGTATAAGAAGACAAGGTAAATAAAAAATAGAAGGGGAAAATATAGAAAATTAGGGACTAGGAAATCTAACAAGGAAATCATTCCTATATGAGTAATAGGAATTTCAGAAAGAGAAAACAAATTTGGAGGAGGGGAAATTACCAAAAAATTGACAAAATATCTCAGTATTTAAAGACATGAGTTTGCAGGTTAAAAGGGCTCATGGATTGTCCAGTACAATGAAAAACAACTACCTTTGCCCAAGTTCATCTCTGAAATTTCATACTCCTAAGAATAGAAGGAAATTCTGAAAACTTTCAGATGGAAAAAAACAGCCCAAAGAACAAAAAACAAAACAAACAACAAAAAAAAAGGTCAAATAAACAGGAATAGGAAAATGGGTTCAGATTTCTCAACAGCAACACAGAAAACAATGGAACACAGTCTTCAAATTTTTGAAGGGAAATGCTTTCCAATGCAAAAATCTTCCCAACCAAATTCTCAATCAAGTGTGAGGTTAGAATAATGATACTTTGAATTCTTATGCAAAAATCTCAGAAACCCAACCAAATTCTCAATTAAGTATGAAGGTAGAATAATGATATTTTGAATTTTTATGCAAAAATGTCAGAAAGTTTAGTCCCTATGTATCTTCTCAAGAAGCTATTGGAAGACGTGCTCCATAAAACAAGAAAGAGGAGGATGTGAGATCTAGTTGTATTAGTTTGTTTTTATGATGCTCATAAAGACATACCTGAAACTGGGAACAAAAAGAAGGTTAATTGGGCTGGGTGCGGTGGCTCATGCCTGTAATCCCAGCACTTTAGGAGGCCGAGGCGGGCAGATCACTAGGTCAGGAGATCGAGACCATCCTGGCTAACATGGTGAAAACCCGTCTCTACTAAAAATAGAAAAAATTAGCTGGGCATGGTGACGGGTGCCTGTAGTCCCAGCTACTCAGGAGGCTGGGGCAGGAGAATGGTGTGAACCTGGGAGGCAGAGCTTGCTGTGAGCTGAGATCGCACCACCTGGGCCACAGAGCAACTCAGTCTCAAAAAAAAAAAAAGAGGGTTAATTGGACTCACAGTTCTGCATGGGTGGGGAGGCCTCAGAGTCATGGCATGAGGTGAAAGGCACTTCTTGCATGGCAGCAGCAAGAGGAAAATGAGAAAGAAGCAAAAGTGGAAACCCCTGATAAACCCATCAGATCTTGTGAGACTTATTCACTATCACAAGAATAGCATGGGAAAGACCAGCCCCCATGAATCAATTACCCCCACCCAGCTCTCTCCCACAACACGTGGGAATTCTGGTAGCTACAATTCAAGATGAGATTTGGGTGGGGACACAGCCAAACCATATCACTCCACCCCTGGCCCCTCCAAATCTCATGTCCTCACGTTTCCAAACCAATCATGCCTTCTCAACAGTCCCTCAAATTCTTAACTCATTTCAACATTAACCCAAAAGTCCACAGTTCGAAGTTCCATCTGAGACAACGCAAGTCCCTTCTGCCTATGAGCCTGTAATATTGAAAGCAAGCTAGTTACTTTCTAGATAATGATTACCTCCAGGGTAAACAAGAGGTTTACAACAAATAAAATGTAATAACGTCCCAAACAGAATAATGTCCCAAACAGAAACATCAAAAAATAGCAAATAGGCATTGTATTAGTCTGTTCTTGCATTGCTATAGATACCTGAAACTGGTAATTTATAAGAAAAAGAGGTTTAATTGGCTCACAGTTCTGCAGGCTGTACAGGAAGCACAGTGGCTTCTACATCTGGAGAGGCTTCAGGAAGTTTCCAAATGTGGTGGAAGGCAAAGAGGGAGTGAAGGGTCTTATCCCCCTACTTTTTTTTTTGAGACAGAGTCTCACTCTGTCCCCAGGCTGGAGTGCAGTGGTGATATCTCAGCTCACTGTACCCTCCACCTCCCAGGTTCAAGCGATTATCCTGTCTCAGCCTCCGGAATAGCTGGGATTACAGGCACATGCAACCACACCCAGATAATTTTTGTATTTTTAGTAGAGATGGATTTCACCATGTTGGCCAGGATGGTCTCGATCCCTTGACCTCATGATTCCCACCCACCCCCCTGGCACCAGACTCCAAAAGTGCTGGGATTACAGACATGAGCCAAGGTGCCCTGCCAGTGCTACACAGTTTAAAGCAACCAGATCTCACTCACTATCATGAGAACAGCACCAAGGGGATGGTGCTAGACTATTCATGAGAAACCCATCCCCATGATCAAATCACCTCCCACCAGGCCTCACCTCCAACAGTGGGGATTACAATTTAACATGAGATTTGGTGGGACAAGCCATACCAGGGATGCATGAAAGGAAAATCTTGGGTTTCCAAAATTACTAAACTAAAGGGAAAAGTCAGGCTGGGAACTGCTCAGGGCAAACCTGCCTCACATTCTATTCAAAGTCATGTAGCTGCTCACTGAGGTATATGCATAGTCTGATGGCCTCCTTTGGAAAGGTTTATCAGAAACTCAAAAGAAGGCAACCATTTGTCTCTTACCTACCTGAGACCTGGAAGCCCCCTCCCTGCTTCAAGTTGTCCCTGCCTTTCTGGATGGAACCAATGTACTTCTTACATACATTGATTGATGTCTCATGTCTCCCTAAAATGTGTAAAACCAAGCTGTGCACTGAGCACCTTGGGCACATGTTGTCAGGACCTCCTGAGGCTGTGTCATGGACAAGCATCCTCAATCTTGGTAAAATAAACTTTCTAAATTAACTGAGACCTGTCTCAAATTTTGGGTGTTCACACATGTTATTTAGAAATATGGAAGTAAACACCAGGAACAAAACTTGAAAGGATTAAAAATGCTTACCTCTGGAAAGTGGATTTAACTTAAGGAGGAACTGAACAGGAGAAAGCAGATTTTGGTTATAGAAAGAAAGAGATTCAAATAAAACAGTACAGAACACCTGTTCTGTCCTCCCTTGTGTTTATCAAGTGCTTGCCAGGCACTCAAAGTTCATTGCAGTCATTACTTTAAGAATTGAGGACTTGGGCCTCCACGTGATATTCTATTAATACTGGCTCTCTTAAACTGACTGTCTCCAGGATTTGCATCTATCAGGAAGGGAGATTGTGACCTCTAACAAGTTACAGTGGGCAGTAGGTATCCATGGAGAACTGGTTCCAGGACCTGGACAGCAAAATCCACAGATGCTCAAGGCCCTTATATTAAATGGTGTAGTACGGTATTTGCACATCCTCTCCTATAATTCACATCATCTTCAGATTCCTTATAATATCAAGTACCATGTAATTGTTACATAAGTAGTTGTTACATTGTATTATTTAGGGAATTATGACAAGGAAAAAAAGTCCGTACATGTTCAGTACAGAGGCAAGCATTCTTTTTTTCCTCAAATGTTTCTCATCCGTGGTTAGTTGAATTTGGATGATGAATCCGCAAATCTGGAGGGCCGAACATGCTTAACTTCCCTAAGTTTAAACATTGCTAAAGCGAGAATAATTATAAACTTAGCTAGGAAGGGTGTTGCGGAAAGCAATGAATATTATACTTGCAAAGTGCTTGGCACGTTATTGTGGTTATTATTTCCTGAAAACAAACAAAAACCACTTATTGGTTGGTGTGAAAGAGGGCATCTGTCAAAGTTGTTGGCCTTTGGAGCCAGAAAAGTCTTTCTTCTATGATGACTCACCTCTCCTCACCTCTCCTCCAACCTCGTGGCTTCTTTGGGGCTCCCTACCGGAGGACACCGGTCAAGATTAGCCTGGGCCACAGTGCACCGGTCCTGTTCCGGGTGATGTTCCAAGCTCACTTTTTTTATTTTTTTATTTTTATTATTTATTTATTATTACTTTTTTAGACAGGGTGTCACTCTGTCGCCCAGGACTGGAGTGCAGTGGTGCCATCACTGCTTGCTGCAGCCTCAATTCCCTGGGGTCAAGCCTCCTCCCATCTCAACCTCGCAGGTAGCTGAGACTACAGGTGCGCACGACCAAGACCGGCTAATTTTTATATTTTTTTGTACAGAGGAGGTTTGTTACCTATATGTTACTCAGGTTTGTCTCGATCTCCTAGACTCAAGCGATCCGCCTGCCTCGGCCTCCCAAAGTGCTGGGATTACAGGCATGAGCCACCGCACCCCGCCCCAAGCTCAGTCTTGAAATAGACTGGAACGGGAAACGGAAAACAGCAAGGTTTTCCTCCGACCAGCGAGAGTCGCTCCGACGAGCGAGAGTCCCGCCCCGCATCAGTTTGCGGAGCCGCCTTAGTAGAAGGAGAGAAGGGGAGTCGAGGAGGCACGGGACTGGAGGGACCGAAGTTCCCCGATGGCGGCCCGGGGGTGCGCGATCTCGCGGCTGCTCCAGCTTCTGCTGCTGCTGCTGCCGCTGCTGGCTGAGGGCGGGGCGCCCGCGCCGTGGCACGGGGAAGGCACCAGCCCACAGCTGCGGGACACATTACTTTAAGAATTGAGGACTTGGGCCTCCACGTGATATTCTATTAATACTGGCTCTCTTAAACTGACTGTCTCCAGGATTTGCATCTATCAG